TTTTTTTTTTTAATAAAAAATGCAATACTCTTCACCTTGCCTAGCTGTGACGCCTCTAGAAGGGCATAACCTTGGAATATGTCCATATTTGAGACCACGGCTAGCTACAACAAAAACAACAGTTTATACAATTTGAAAATAATTTACAATTATGTTACCTACAATCAGGGGGCTAAATTCTCGTTGGGTTACCATACAAGTCTCCTAGTAATAATTACGTCAGCGGAAATTAAACAGACGACGCTTCCATCTTGATCAACTCACCGCAGACCAACATATATTGAGGGATGTTCAGGGTTCTTTCTTGCAAAAACTTAAATTATACTTTTAAAAGATAAAAACGTTAACTACAATGTACAGTACGATAAGGAATGGAAGGGCCATAAGCCGTAAACTGACTGCTTCAGCCGACATGATCAATTTATGTCTTACTATTTATTAGACACCGACGAGTGCTCCATTCGAGACATTTTAAGGCTATGCAGTTTTTATATTTCTTGACCGTAACGAAATTTGTCTTTCTATTTATGCCTATTTATAAGACATTGACGAGTGCTCTGCTACCTCTCCTGTTTGTGACGTCAATGCCAACTGTACAAACACTCGTGGTTCTTATCTGTGCACTTGCAAGATTGGATTCTCCGGGGACGGAAAAACCTGCAAGGGTAAGTAAGATTTATACACCATTCGAGACCTATTGAAAGAGCACGTGATTCTGGGTCACGTGGGTCGTGTTAAATTGCATTATGTGACTGCTTTAAGAGCGATTTTGGACCAGTTTCCATTGCAGCCTCGTCAAATCCGAAAAAAGAAGGGCTGGCGTCCCAAAACTAACCCAGTCTATTACGAAAAAGGTGTAGCCTGCGTGGCTGGGGTTAAAAGAGAAAGGGGAAGGGGTAATGTGGGCGCCGCCTACGCGCGCGCCCAAACCTCTCCTTCCCCTTCCCCTTTTAACACCTGTCACGCAGGCTATCTACGCAACGTCGAAATTCAGTGGCCACTATCATAAAGGACTACAGCTCACATAATTAGAGAGACCATTTTACAGTGTGAGACGGTATAACGCTTTCATTTCGGACGAAAACTCCCTTTGTTTAAAGTAATAAACCGAATGACGGTCCTTTTCTTATTCAACTAAACTTACTGAGGTCTTGCCGCTACCAAATTTCACTGCCAAGTGTCTTTACTCTTGTAGACTGAGACGATTAATTTTTGGCGAAAATTTGGGCGAGACCACTGCCCAAGAATGCAAAAATTCCAAGTTCCGATTGATATGCGTCGTTTTAAAACGACTAATTGCTTTAGCTCCCTAATGACACACTAACATGACTGACAGGGTATGAAGTCGACATTTCTTAAGTCCCAAATATCCGGACAGAAAGGTACCTGAAATTGGACTAAATCGATCGAGATATAAGTTGGTCATTTTGCCACTGGAACTTGTGAATAAATTCACTTCAGGGAGGCTAAATCTGTAGAAATTCGTTATCAGGGCTTGGAGTTCTGCGATTATAAAGAAAGTCGCTGAAGTCGAAACTAGACTATGGTCCTTTGCGGGTGACCTTCGACTGACGCGCCAAAGAGGGACTGCTCGAAAGAGTACTTATACATAATCCAGCCAATCGTTCATCCAAGATTCTTTTTAACAACAAGCGTCAACTTTTATCATGTTCAACGCTGTTGTTTTGCCTTATTTTTGGTAGAAAAGATGACAAACAAAGTAAGCTAAAGTATGTGTTTATAAAAAGTTTCAGATTGCCTCAACTACCAAAATTTGACCAACGGTAACAGAAAAGTGTCCCACGGTTCATCTCCACTTCTTTGTGATAATTCACTCCCACATGGATGGTATCGTTTCCAAGGTAACGCAGGGACAAAAATGCCTACCTCATGCGTTGCTCCTCACAAATGTAGTACCCATGCCACTGGCTGGCTTAACGGTGCTCATCCGTCAGTAGAAGAGGGCAAAGTCACCAAAAAGGTCTGCTTCAACTGGCAATCAAACTGCTGCAGGTGGTCCATCAATATTGAAGTAATCAACTGCGGAGATTTCTTCCTGTATCACTTCAGAGGAACGCCCCCGGAACATTCATGTCATCTCCGTTACTGTGGTACAGACTGACGGTTTTGATGTACTGATACATCCGAAACTTAATTGTGGCAAGCCCCCGCGAAAGCCTCCTACCACTTCAGCTTTTAAGGATTGTGCTGCTTAAATTCCTATGTACCTGGCCAAAAACGATGTGATACTACTTTACAGAGAAATACTAGCAGCTGTTGAAGCCAACCTAAAATTAGTGATTGCGGGCGACATCGTTTTTTTCATTAACGTAATATTTCTAATTCTATCTTTCTAAGTTGACTTTTAGATTCATCTCATTTTATAATGATGGTCATTTCGAAGAACTCCTTCAGTTTCGGATATACCGCCTTGGTATACTATTGAAAACATTCAGTGCAAAATTTTATATATAATTTTTAGAATTTGAAAACTAGAATATAGAGGCCGGTATTTTTGGAGATTTGAACTGTGATGTAGGAGCCTCATTATTTGACCATAAAGCCCAGAAAATAGCAGATATGTGAAACATGTCTTAGCATGCTTGACAGGAGTCGAATAAACGGGGTAGGAAATTTTAGAGAGTGATGGCTGGGCGTAGAAGGGACAGAACTGATCAAACAATAATAATGATAATAATAATAATAATAATAAATATTTATATAGCGCCTATACTTTACAGTGCTAAGAGCTTTACAATGCTTCAAAAAGTTCTGGATAAAAAATAAAAATCCTAAAGTCATTTACATATATATATATACGTAGTCACAAAAATAAAAAATAAAAAAACCTAAGATAGTTCGTAAACTCGTTTAAAAAGAAAGGTCTTCAATTTAGATTTAAATTTATTTACATCATCAGTCGATCTAATGTCAATAGGCAATTCGTTCCAGAGTATAGGGGCAATGACTGAAAAAGCCCTTAAACCGTATGTCTTTAAGTTATAGGGTTTAATAACAGGACGCCACTTGTCTGAAGATGAGCGAAGGTACCTCGCAGATTCATAAACATGGATTAGGTCAATCAAATAATCAGGAGCTAAATTGTTGAGTATCTTAAAACAAGTAAGATTAATCTTAAAGATTATTCTTTGCTCCACTGGTAGCCAGTGCAACTCCTTTAGAGTCATCACAAACATCAAACATCATTAACGTGTAATGAGAACACACATGCATCACAACTGATTCGTTTTTAGGCTGCGTAGATGACAGTTTTTTTGGGAAGGGGAGCACGTCGAGCAAGGGGCGAATCTCACTCTCCCCTCTCCAATAAACCGTAAGCTACGCGCACCCTAATTTTTAACTAATATTGACAACTGATAAAAACTGCTGCATCATCCAAGTTTAGAATAAATAAAAGCTGCTGAGAACCAATCAGAATCCTGCGTTTTGTTAGCGACGCAAGTAGTTGAAACAAGGGAGAATAGCTGAACATAGAGTGGATCTCAGGGCGCGGATACGTGAATTTCATTGAAATTACTTTTAGAGATTGTGATTAAAGGGACAAAGTCAGCTAATGCACATGCGTATTAGATACCATTTCTTAGCTGATTTGCATGTCACAAACAGAAAGCGAGGAGCGTATCCAGAATACTCAAGACAACTAAACCTTGTACAGTTGAACTAGTTACAAGCCCAAATCGTGATTATAGACCCTAAGCCACATCAGGGCACACATTTTTTATATAGCATTGAGAATTCACCGATGGATTTGTCCAGGAAAAGCCAAACATCGACGAATACCTCTGAATTCGATCGTCAGTAGAGGTGAGAAATGATACGGAACCGGCATGAGTCATTGTGGAAGGTTCAAGGTCAGGAAAGCTTGATTTTCTAAACACATGTAACCTTTTCCATCGACTTTCCAATACATATAACGATTATTAGCTGGCCAATGTTATTGATTCATTTAATTTCTTTTGTTATTTTGGTAAACGAAAGCGATTTCTCCCGCTTGGCGCCTACGCGTTTCTCACCTGTTCTGTTCATGTTCCTTTGGATTCTGTTTTTAACCAGATATGATAAAATAATGTCATAGGATGAGTTCAAGTTTGCTAAAAAAGTGGTTTTCTGTAAAAGATCGAGGACCGAATGAAACACTAGACAAGATTGAAGCGGATTTCTAGATGTAGCCGACGCGTTCCTTTGATTTCGGGTTGAGGTAAACTCTTTAAGTAGGGTCCAGGTCAGCGCGGTCCCATAGCTGACTGTGTCCCTTTAAACGGATGCCTACCTCCTGGGACGTCCGCACATTTTTACCGATCGCCTGAAACATCATCAAATCCTAGAGCTTAAAGCAAACGTCAATTCAGCATCTTGTAATAGCACCTGATAAATTCTCTCTTGACAACGATAAAAAAAATCTTTGAATGCAGAGGTCCACTCAAAGCGAAAAAAAAAAAGACTGGTTCTTTCTTAAAGATGAAACAACAACAACATGATATTAATTTTGAGGAGGACTCGGAAAAAAAATTAGACTAGATCACGGAGGGTCGTGGGTTCAAATCCCATCTGGGACTCGGAATTTGGTTCTTTCTTGCCGGATCTTTAATGTAGAGATGTTAATGCCAGACGTCACTTCAAGTGGAATTAAAACAAAACTGAATGCAAGGCTGGCAATAAGGCAAAGGGCTGATTTATTTGAGGCCAATACTTCGGCTAACAAAATTAGCCTTCCTCAGGGCCAGAGCTACACTGGAAGGGAATACTATAACGGCTCCTGAAGTTTGAGTTGAAATTTAGAGGTTAATGATAAATTAAAAATGTAAATACTGATAGATACAAAACATGTCAGATAGGTAAATAATTATACAATAAAGTGATCGACAAAATCCAAAAGCTGGTCGTTTTTACATTCTCCTTAAAATTCACAGAGGTGAAAACCCAGGGCGACCTATCGTATTAGCCAATGGGTATCCTACGGAAAAAATATATCAGCGTGCGTTAGCTACCGCCTTAATCCTTTGGTGCAGTTTCTACCTTCCTACGTTAAAAAATGACCGATATTCTCAACATATTTAAGGAAATCGGCGTCCTCCCCACAAATGCTATTCTTGTCACCAGCGTACTGAAAGTGAAGTGAGTGTCTTGTTTAACCACTGGAGCACCACACCTCTGCGAAATTTATGTTCTGTTGATTAAAGGAGGCGGGAGGGTGGGGGGTAAAGTCCCTAAGCCCCCACCCACGTTTCCGGCGTCCCTGTCTCTCTCTAGAAAGGTTTTTTACATGTGTGCCAGATTTTTTAGTCTTCTTCAATAGTGAACTGCTTGTGTCCCTGCAATTAAGGTAAACTCTTCACAGCCAGTCTATTTTTCCGATGGAAATTGAAATAGTGAAATAGTGATACACAAAATGTGAGCCTGTAGAGAGTCTCACTTTGCACTTCATTTATTGCATCAAAAATAAATATATTTCCGCCACAATTCTTCAATTAGTGGAGCTTGAGCATTTGTAAGCTCGAATCGAAACTAACTCCAGATTAATTCCAGATACGTGTCCTCCCTTTCACTATACAAAACACGAGACCACTAGCTGCGTGGTTACACATTGGGAATTTTCTCTTATAACATAGCGCGCGTGCTTGCCCTATATAAGTCCTATTGGGCCGCTATGAACAAAATCTTTATTTACGCACGCCCGTGCGTAAATAAGATGACGTAAGCATTTCGTTTTACCTGGCTGCAGAGTTGTCGTCTTTTAAGCTGCAGTGCAGTTTTCCTTCTCTTTAAAATATGGAAGAAACCAGCGAAGAACTG